CACTTGGAAAAAAATGAAAAAAACGAATTCAATATCTTATTTAAAAGCTGTTTGAAAACCTAGCACGTAACCCGCGAAATATGCAATCAATCTTAAGTGTATTTTCAATCACCTTTTCATATCTCATCATGTAAATTAACCGATGGCACTTTTTCGGCTCTTTTTTTCCTGCCATTTTTTGTAGTTTGTTTTTCGTTTTCGATGGCTTTTTTTTTGCCTCCCAGTAAGTACAACAGTACGTATGAGCATTGTCTGCGTTGTTTGTTATAATTTCAGATAAGTTGAGATTGCCGATTGTCGGTTACATTGTTTTCTTGTTGCGGTTGTTATTATGCAAATTTTGGCTAACAACCGCTTACAAAAAACAAACAAAAAATAAAAAATAAAGGCGACCGTAGTTTGGGGGGGTTTGAATTTTAATTAACGTTGCGCATACGCCGTGTGGTACACCCTGCAACTGCCATCCGAGGTGTGTTCGATGCCGTTGGGCAAAAAGTATGCCAAGTAAATACTGTTTTCGAAATGAAATAATGAGCACACTTTTTTTGGGGTATTTCTGTTTTTTACTTGGTCTTTTTTTTTGGTGCTGCCTTTTTTGTGTGCTTAGATGCAGGTAAAGTCTAAACACTTTCACTAAAAATCCACCAAAGGCTACACGAATTTCGTGTCGTACATGACAAACTCTCAACTCGATTTGGTGGGGGTGCACAGGGGGCGGAGGGAGAGGTGGAGTGGGTGGTGGGAGGACAACTAAGTGGCTCAAACGGCCAATGGCACATCCTCCAGTTTTGGAATAAGTACAGTGAAGATTGCGACAAGTTTGGCTGATTCAGTTGGTGTGTATATGTGTATATATAATAGGATAACTTTAGGAAATGTGCTTATTTAAAGAAAGTTATACATAATGTGCATTTAAATTGTTTCAGTCTAAAATTTGTACACAAATGTTGAAAATATTTTTATACTTTGGATATCAAAACAAGCGAAAAAATCAAAATAATCATTTTTGTTTATGATCTAAACATGAATTTTACTTAATGGTAATAAGCTGTATAAATAAAATTAGTTTATTTTTAAATTACAGAAATAAAAACCCATAAATTAACAAAAACATTATGATCATCTGCTTTAATGAATGGTCTATTGAGCCATGTGATAAGAAGTAATCCCCGTTGACATATATCACTTATTGCCCAATATCTTCCGCCTCAAGTACTTAACCCCACAAAATGACGGCAAACTTGACACCCACAATACCACATAATTCCGCCGCGCACCAGCGATATCCACTGTAAAATATCGGCAACAATAACCGAAGAAATGGCTGTGGAAGAAAAGAGACTCTGGCATTGGAGACATTGATTAACGAGTGCTTAGTTAAAGCGGCACTCAAACACGCGCTGCTAATGCCGCAGATGCCAGCAATAATAGTTGCAAATACACCAGCAACATCAGCACGGCAGCAGCAACACCATCACAGCAACAGCAGCAGCAGCAACATCAACAAACAAAAAGCAAACAAAAGTCAACAGCAATCGCGGACAATAACGGGGAAATAAGCGACAACAAAAGTGCAATAATAATTCTCTCCGGTTTTATTCGTCTTCATATTTTTATGATGAATAATTGAATGGAATCTAGGAATAAGTTTGAAGGAGGGAGCACTATTTATTGCCTTAGCCATGCATCTGTGCAAATACTTTGAAATATGTTTATTAATTGCCAAGTGAACACCCTTCAACCCGCCGTTAATTTCAAGTTAGTCTGTTGCTCTGGTGGTACGTATATACGTATACCACTCGTGTTTACATATATTTGAGGGGTATATGCGACTGGGCATTGACCTGCACTGCCCCAATGTGTAAATAAACAGCTGTGTTCAAAATAATGATAGGGACCTAAAAAAAAATAATTGTAAATGCTTTTAATGTAAAACTTAAAATGTAAAGTGTAAGAAATATTGTGGTCCCTCACAGTTTTCAGCCTATTTTTTTAATTATTGTATATAGCTATATAGTCAAGTAGATCAAGTTAATTCTTAGTAAATGTATTTATCAAAATAACTAACAACTTTCAAGTTAAATCTTAACGTTTATTAATATAATATTTTTTTAATGTATACTTGATTCTACCACTTATAGCTGGTTGCATTTGTGGCCATCAAATTTAACTTCGCTGAAATTGTTTTTGAGCTTCTGCTGAAATTGCCTTAAAATATTATTGCTTATTTTAGGGCTGCTGCACATGGTGCTTCTATTTTGTTATTTTTGCCAGAATCTGTTGATAGTTTTTTTTGGAAATTAATTAAGCGGTGAATTGTTTGAAGTGCTCTTCACTTCCGAAATACTTAAAAGGTACAAAATATTAAGGCCGACAATTGTTTATTAGCTAATTACTTACACTGAAAATATTAAATTTAATATAGTTTCTATTTGATTTTATTAAAATTAATTTTAGTTAAATATGGCTTAAATTTAAATTAAATTTTAAGATATTTAAGTCGACTCAAATTATACATTTTACTATTTTCATATTTAAAATAAGAAATAAAATTAAGTACAAAGTATTAGGGCTTTTTACCAGTGTAATTATGCTGTAAAATAATTTCACAAAAAGTATTCTCTTTAATAAACTCTTAATAACATTTTCTATTATTGAGCAATGACATCTTTTCTTTAGCGGTTAATCTATTTATTTACATTCTAAAACAAGTTCTTTTGAACTTTGTTCTTGTCACATTATTTAATTAAATCAAATGAATCGGTTATTTATTTTGGGGTCCGATTGTTCTATCAGCTTTGCCCTTTTTCACTTCATTTTAATCGCATATAAATAGATCTTTATGCGTTTATTTTTGGCAGTCGCTTTTTTGTTTTGTTCTTGTCAAGAACAACTACAAATCAGACTATTAGTGATTCACTCTGCCCAACAAAAAATTACGCACAGAAATAGCTGAAACATTTGGAGGAATATAGGGGGTACACATGATTCATCTGGCCGACAGCTGGTATTAAATTGTAAAAATGTTTCGGGTACGAGATTCTACGGGGGAAATTCATTTCTTACCTCTATAGCACCTGTCACAAATTAAGTTTTTAATATTTAATACGTGATTCTACACCTTAAATCTTTTAAATTGATCTGTCAATTTTTCACCGATTTATAATTTAATTACTAAGTAAAATTGCTTAATTCTTAGTGAATTACAAATCAAATAAAATGGTTTAAACACATTTGTCACTTTTAAGTTTGGCTTAAAAAGTTAATGGATGAAAAAAATACAACCTAGACAACTTTTTTCTAAAATATTAGCTTAAATATAATGCTTTAAAAGGAAAAACTAACCCCGAAAGCTTTGTTCAGGAATTCATTTTTTTTCGATTGCCACTATTGCACACCCATTTCAATTATTATGTTTATTTGTTTAAAATTAATCAGTGTTTACCCACATTTCAGGAGAACAACTCCAGCGGCATGTTGATGGGGTAAACCCAAATTACTGTGGCGTCTCAGCAAATGTTGCTGCTGCTGCGGCGGGTTATCCAAAGCGGATTTAATCAGTTGAAAGGCCATTATAATAAAGTTGCACTTAATTGCTGGCCTATTTCACAATAACATCACTTTTTACTCGTCGATATGTAAAAACAGCTCGATTATTTTAAATCTAACTCTCTTTTTTGTTTCTAGAAAACATTCCGCCCCAAAAAGAGGAGAATCTATAGTATTTGCAGGCGAAAGAGAGCACAAAGCCCGCGTTTTTGGCACACACGAAAAAAAAGGCATGCGGCATCCACGACAAGATCGATTCTACTGAAACCGCATCCATGAATCCATCGCCATGGCAAACTGAACGTGAGTGGAACGTGGAGCCCGAAGCGCAGCGCAACCGAAGTGGGCAAAAAGCCGAAAAAAGCGGTGGAAAAAAAGGCGAAACAAAAAAATAAAATCGAAATCAAACAAAACGAGACTGTAAACTGTAGACTGTAGACTTTGTATACTGTATGTGCTGGAGTGAAGCCAGCGGAGCATGTGCCGCACCGCAAAAGCGGACTCATGGATCGTATCGTTTGGGGCCGAATTGAATGGGGCTCGCTCGATTCGATGCGATGCTCGCCGCTCGATGAACAGATGATGTTCCCTCTGCATGCAAAGCCGCTGATAAAAATGTATAGAAAACTATAGAAAAAGGGGGGCGTTGCTTGCAGTCCAGGGGAGCGATAAGCTAAATGGGGGAAAAAAAGGAAATAACAAACAAATGGTAAAATGGAAAAATATCTGGCTCCATCTGCGGGCCGTCTGCTCAAGCTGTACATATCAGCTTAAGCAACGCGCTCTATTGGCGTAAAAACAGCAAGTGGTGAAATGGATAAACGGCTGGCTCCATCTGTGGGCCGTCTGCGCAAGCTGTACATATAAGCTTAAGCAGCGCGCTCTATTGGGGTAAAAACAACAAGTGGTGAAATAGATAAATGGCTGGCTCCATCTGTGGGCCGTCTGCGCAAGCTGTACATATCAGCTTAAGCAACGCGCTCTATTGGGGTAAGAACAACAAGTGGTGAAATGGATAAATGGCTGGTTCCATCTGTGGGCCGTTAGCGCAAGCTTTACCTGTCCGCTTAAATAGCGCCCTCTATTAGGGAAAAACAACGAGTAGTAAAATGGATAAATGTCTGGCTCCATCTGTGGGCCGTTAGCGCAAGCTGTACCTATCAGTGCCCTAAATTGAGTAACAGCAGCGCCAGCTATAGAGTTTTTGACAAAGTGAAACAACTAGCATCAATAGTACAATCGCATTCCACTGGGAGCGCGCGTTTGAGTAAAAACCCAGCCACCTATAGACTTTCTGGCGAAATTGAGACACCTAGTACACGTCAATAGTACAGGGAATTTCCATTAGGTGCGCTCATTTGACGACAGCATTTAAATCGTAATGATTTGCTTGTTACAATAGGGGAAACGTAAGTTTTTTGTTTTGGTTTGTGAAATGTGCTGAGACTCACCTGTTAACCCCGTGTCATTGATGCTGGACGTTGAGGTGGAGAAGCCGGGCAGTTTGCGCCATCCCTTGCGGCTCCAAAAGCTCCTGGCCTTCGATTCCGTGGCCGTGCTTTGAACTTGAACCTGAACCTGAACCTGAGCCTGAGTGGCTGGATGGCCATTCCGGTGATTGGGTCCCGGGTCCTCGGCAGCCCGTATCCTGGCGCAGCTGAGTATCCTGCGGCCGCAGGAGGCTCGCGTGAAAAAGCTGCTGCCGTTGCCACTGCCACTGCCACTGGAACTGGCACTCTGACCAGCAGCTGCCATGCCCGCCTCATCGTATACAGTGGCCGCCCGCTGGAACGAACGACAGCTCTGGGTGGTGCCCACCGTGGGCGTTTGGCGGGCGCACTTGATGTGCTGCGTTTTGCTAAGACGCAGGCTGCCAATGTAGCTGGCCCCACTGCTGCCGCTGAAGCCGCTGTCCAGGTCGCCGCACGTGGTGGTGGCCATCAGCTGCTCCACGCCGGCAGCACTCCCTTTGGCCCTCTTTCCCCCCTCTCCGCTATCACAGATGTTGTCCGCCGAAGCGGATGTCAGTCGGGTCAGAATCGTGGGCGGCTGTCCACTGGCCGCCGTCACACTCACACTCGGCTGCGGTGGCTCAACTCCCCCAGAGCCGGATGCTCCCTGTGGCTGCTCCATGGACTTGGGCGGACTTTCCGGCATCAGCATGGCCTCCACACTCAGATTCAGCTCGCCCAGTATCTTGTGATGCCGGCTCTGCACTCGACGCAGCTCCTCCTCCACCAGCGTTTGATTCAGCGAGCCCGCCGAATGGGAGCCCACTGTACTGCGCAGATGATGACCGCCACTGTGGCTACTACTGCTCGTCTGCAGGGCAGCCGCGTTGATCTCCTCGTAGAAATTCTCGCTCTGGCCGGGACCCACTTTGGTGGTCAGTTTGTGGTAGCGCGTCTGGTAGGATTGCAAGGTGGCCGGACTCACCAGTTGCTTGTTCTTCTTGCCCTTGGAGAGCAGCGCTCGGATCGAGTTGGGTGGTGGCTCCACGGAGCAGGGGGATGTGGATGAGGAGCTGGTGGTGTTCGAACTGCCCACCACCGATGAAACGCCTCCCACTCCTCCCCCCGCGCTGGCAGAACCCGGCACATTGGAGTGCCTCATGGCGGCACCGGGTTCGTAGTAGGCATACGAGTAGTCATGATGCAGATGGTGCACTGATAAAAAAAGGGAATAGTAAAATTAAAGAAAAAACTTGTATATTTCCTATTTAAATTAAATATAACTACAGAATATTAAATACAGTGCATATTACATTGCATGATTTAATATAAAAATATTTAAATTAATGTGGATTGATTGAAAATATAACTACAGAATAATAAATACATTAACATCCTAATATTAAAATCGATGTATTTGAGATTGGGTCAAATTTTGTTTCATCGTATTATAATTATATTACTATACATGTCCCCAACAATCTGGTTTTATGTGGCGCCATCTGCCAAACTCCAGAGTCACTACTACAAGCTAAGAGCGAGCGATCTTTGTTTTTCTTCCGCTCTCTTTTACTCTCTTAAAAATGTGAGTGAAAGCTTCCATAGGAACAATTGGAAAATAAAAATTGTAAAAATTTTACCTTTAATGTTTTTAAATTAAATTAGTTTAATTGTTTTGTATTATGTTTGACAATCTCGTTGAAATGCTATAGCTCTAATCTCTAATATAATCATAAATATATATATACATTTTGTATAGCCCTTATCAGCTTCGTTGTTCTTAAACGGACAGATTGTATTTAGTACATTTTAAAAGTTAACTCAGAGTGGCTGTCTATAAACGCAATGCTTAAGCTGACTTCCCACATTATTTGCTTCTTCATTGTCCTGGATTTGCTTGAATCCTTGGCGCATTCCCAAGGTGATCAGGTGTGTCTGCTTCACGATGCTCCAAATCAGTGTGGCGCCTTCTGTCTGGCCGCACTGCATCCAGTCTATGATCACAATAGCAAGATGCAGGCTGAACTGGAAGCCCTGAAGAATACCATTACAAAAGAAGAGTTGGAGGCGCGACTGAAGCAAACAGAACGACATATTATGGAGGCAAAATCCGAAATGAAGACGATAATGCAGTTCATGGACACCAAGATGGATAGTAAAATTGGGGAGGTACAGAAAAAGCTGCAGGATCAGACCAGTATAGAGGCGCTTCTAAAGACGCTTGAGACGAAAATGGCGGCCTTTCAGGCAACCCTCCTGGAAACCCTTTCTAAAACTAGCTCAAAATGTGTCTCTCCGTTGTTCGAGAGAATTGGCACCAGGTTCTTCTATATAGAAAAAGAAAATGAGCTAAGTTGGACCGCTGCGGCAGCTAAGTGTCGTCAAATGGGCGGGTATTTGGCGTCCATCAAGTCCCAAAAGGAACTAGAAGCCCTCCAAGCGAAACTGAACAGGCAGTGGTTCTGGCTGGGCATCAACGATAGGGAAACCAATGGAACGTTCGTATCTGAGGCCTCCGGGAAACCGACCACAGTTTTCAAATGGAGGAAAGGCTATCCCAAAGATGGTAATCCCTGTGTTTTGCTGGGTTTCGCTGATATGATAGATTGGGACTGTGACGACAAAAGCTTCTTCATTTGTCAAGCAGATAATGAGATTTAAGTCTTAGAATCATGCAATGTATTTGTTTTGTTCAAATTCAAACAAAAATCTTGACGAATAACTATGTATATGACAGACTCAAAGATTAAACCGTCAAACATTTCTCAATAAGATATATTTTGATTTTCAAAGTTTGTTTACCAGTGTGTTGTTGCTGCTGGTGGTGGCCACCTAGGTTTCGGCCCAGCGTTTTGCTCTGCCGCGCCGCCAGCTGCTTGAGATGATGTGGTGATGTCTCCAGAGTTGCCACCTCATTGCAGATCTCTATGGCATCCGGATCTGGGTCGGGATACCGGGGCAATTGTTGGCGCCTGGCGGGCGTTTGGCTCGGAGATTGGCCGCTGGGTGGTGGATAGTCTGGCGGTGGTGGAAACTGCAGACAGTGCTTAGCCACGCCCCCATGCACCGCCTCCATCTGCTGCTGCTGCTGTTGCTGTTGCTGCTGCTGCTGCAACTTCTGTTGCTGCTGCTTGAGTCGCTGCAATTGCGTCTGCTGTTGCGTATAGTAATTCTGATTCGAGTGGTGCTGCTGCACCTGCTGCTGCTGTTGCTTTAACTTTGTGTGGACCAAAACCTTGCCGGCCACGCCCCCGCCCCCGACCACGCCCCCCTGGCCCGTCGTGGGGGCGGCCGTCGAGTTGCCGCCGTTGTTGCGTCTGCTGCCCAGGCCCAGGCTCTCCATGGCACATGGTGTGGCTGCTGCCCCAAAAGCTTCGATCTGCCAAAAACAATAGAAAGTACAAGCGGGAAAGCCATTAGGACAATGAATAAAGCAACAAATGGGGAAAATAAGAAAGGTCCATGGGTATAATCCAATTATCGCATTTTCCCAAAATGGGCGAAATGGGAAAACAATAAAACTGTTTAGGTTTGAATGACAGTTGATTGCAAATGTTATAACGAGTTCACAGAGGTATGACATTCCATTTTAGGCCATTTTAAATTGCATAGTTATGTTTTGTTGCATTTTTCCATTTCAGCTTTTTGTTCATCTGATCTTTCAAAAAGCTTTAACGGAATAATTGTACAAAACAAAACAAGCAAATGTCGTTTGAAATTATTTGTTAAATATTTTAAAAAATGTTAAGTTTAGTTTTACATAGTCAAAATTTTACATATATATATATTTTCTAACAGTATTTCCAGTTCGCATGATATTTTAAAAACAAGATAACAAGAAATGCCATTACTTAAAATTAACTTTTTCTGTTTATGATATTCAATTAAATCGCGAATTCTTGAGCCTCACTTAAACAAATTTGTTTTCTACAAGTGTTTGCTTACCTTTAGAAATAAGAAGACTAATTTAAAAACTATTTTAATACAAGAGGTGAGAAATTAATGAGCATAAAATGCAGTTAAGTATATATACAAGTTGCAGCAGATGTCCCTGGCGGTTATTAGTTCCTGGAACTTTGACCGCAGTAAATGTGCTATTTGGCATTCGCGCTTCAAGATTCCATGCAACAATCCACATGTCGCAGTGATTAATTGCCGCTAATTCAGCAAAGCCTTTTGCTTTTGATGGCCAAAGGGTTTCAGACTCTTTTTTTGTGGCCTCGCTTCAAAGGCCCGGCCGAGCGTGGTAATTGAAAAACCAGGCTAAACGAGAAATGAGCCTGGCCACCAATGAGTTCAACCGGGGAGTCAGGTGGAGTCGAGACCTCGATGATGGATCCGCAGCTGTCACAGGTGAGTATGCCGCAAATAAATGGGCTAAAAGACCCCAATGCGGAGGGTAAACCAAAGCCAAAGTTGAGGGGGACTTTGCTTATGAAATCAAATCAATCAAAGGAGAGAAGATTTAGAAAACCAAAGTAAATAAAATTGTATAAAAGGTATTTTAAGTTGAAACTATAATTTAGTGGGTATTGAGAACTTTCTTCTTTTTTGAGGTATTAAGTTTAAGGAATGTTCAAACTGGCATTGGCAATAATTTCAGCTATTTTACTATGGGACAATCAAATGATAATGTCAGTTGTTCTGCAAGATTATATGATCAAGATAAAGGACAGAACTCGAGGGAATTAAAGCCAAGGAGAAGACGGTCCGATAATGTTCAAGGTAACATAATAAAGTTGGGGATGATAATGCCACCAAGTTATAAGTGGACATATTCCAAGCCAAGGATTCTTCGTGGTAGCAGACAGAAATTCAATTGGTAATTTGAGTAGAGGTCCATCCCGGTTTTAGTTCTTGTTTATCTTCCCTCTCTCTCTCCCTCTCCCTCTCTCTCTCTCTCTTTTTTCTCTGTAACCTGAGACAAGTCTGAGAACTGGACACGATCTCGTTGGCACAGCAGGTCCCCAAATTAGCGTCTAAATTTAGCTACTCAACAAATTGAATTGAGCCCAGCGAGGGGCACACTGATGCGATCTCTTTCTTATCGCATATCCCTCTCTCTTTCCTTGCATATTTTTTATGTTCCGAGCGGTTTCTTGAGTTTTAAAGCTCTGCGTGCACTTGAAGTCTCGCAAGGGTAGGGCGGGGTATTAGGGGGATTAAGGGCTTCCAACTTCACGGGGGAAAACATCAAAAAACCCTAACGCATGCCATTGTCAACAGTCAGATACAACAACAATAGGGGGTTAAGAAGGGGGTTCAGAAGGGGGTTGGGAAGGGGGTAGAAGGCGGTAGGGAAGGGGCAAAGAAGGGGCAAAGAAGGTAGTAAGCAGGGTAGAAAGTATAGAAGTGGGAGTTTGTCAGGGAGTAAACCACTCGAAACGCAGGGCCAGGATTCCCCTGGAACCTCTTGAGCTCCCCTCAAATCTCTCACCCCCCACTGAAAACCATACCCCCCCGCCGCCCCTCCTGAGATTCTCCTACGTGCCAGCATATATGTATATATTCTTCAAGGGAACCTTAAAGCTTCTGGCTACCAGGGTAAACTTTTTATGTTTGCCAACGCTTCAACCCACTTACAAGGATTCATATATGCGTGGCTGTTATTTTTTTATACGCTGTATGCTCTCTCGTTAGTTTGCTTGCTTTTGTTTTGTCTCCTCCTGTTTTCTCAACTGTTTCACAATTTTAACATGCACCCATTAACTGGCGGTTGCACGGGTATACGAGAACAAGTCGAAAATCTATGCAAATAGCTTGATACAATTTAGCTGGTAAATAACATTGGTACTTTCAAACAAAAAAAATTAACAAAAGTCTCTAAAAGCATATACCTAACATTTTTAACTTTTACCTATTTGAAAGTCATATAATTCTTACAAAATACATTTATTTAAAAGTAAGAAGAGTTTGGCTTGTAATTTTTTCTTAATGTTTTGCTTGGTTAATTCCAAAGCTTTGATTTTCTTAAAGGAAAGGGGTATCTTTATGTCTTGATTTCGGCTTGGCTTCCCCTGTTTATTTTAGCCTTGTTTTTTCGTAATTTTTCTTCGACCCTCGAGCACATTTTCCACGCTTTCCCGAGGAAAGTGAAGCGAGTGCCAGTGATGCGAGCAAGGAAAAGCGAACAAAAGCCATCAAGATCCATCTTCCGCAGATGCGGTAAGGAAGTCTCGACTTCCTCTTTGCCAATATTGCCGCTGCTCAAGTGACTTTCGCTGATTGATTGGGTGGTGACCCCGATGGAGCACTTAATTAGAAGCACACGCATACGCGTTAACCGAAAAAAAAGGAGTTGCTGCAGCTGCAGCAGCACTTTAATGGGGGAAACGAAGGCCAGCGAACAGCTCCAGCCAGCAGCACTGAGAAAAAATTCGTTCTTTTCCCTTGGTTTTTGTTATTTAAAGTTACTAATTTATTAAATATTTATTACAACTAAGGATTATTTATTTTGAAATAAACAAACGTTCCAAATTAGCTGTAAAAAAATTGTAAGTGTACGTACAATAAGTCTTTGTAATAACTAAAACACTCAACACATTTACATTCTAGCACATAAACATTAATTAGCTTGTTTTAAAAAAAAAATGAATGGGAAAACTTGTAGAAAAATATTTTTTTTTAAATTGCTGAAAACTTTTTTTGCTATTTATCTGGCAGTGTACACCTCCCCTTTTGCCGACCTTCGAGTGGCTGCGTGGCTCGTGTTTACTGCAAAAAGGGGCCGGGCAGCAACAGCAACAGCAAACAGAACCGAACAGAAACGCATTGCAATAATTATATGCTGAGGCAGCAGCAGCAGCAACAGCAACAGCAGCAACAACTGCAACATCAACCCCAGCAGACTGGCCCCTGCAAAAAGTGTTGCATGTTCTTCTATCATATTTGCAATTTATGTGTCGCCAATTCACTCAGACTCCTCCTGCTGCTCCTGCTGCCCCCAGAGTCCTCTTGCCAGCGGATTCCCATTCCATCCCATTCCGATTCCCATTCCTCTTTCCATTTAAGGCATGTTGATGCCCGAGTGCGAACAAGTAATTAGAAAACATATTTCGAAATTGTTTCGCCATCCGTTTGTGCAACTCAGTGGCTTGCAGCTGTGCAGAACTCATGGGGAAAAAGAGATGCCACAGACTTGTCGTCTTAAAGATCCCTGGGATTACTCATAGAGCTTTGCATTTAAGTCTCTGAAATTCAATTTATCTCTAGCCGCTGGGAATTTGTAATTTTATTCGGCAGTAAAGGTTTCAATTATGTTTACCAAAAACATTTAGCAAAATTTAAGAGTCATACACTCATCAGAAGCAAAGAAAAAAATTAATCAAAATAAAAAACATAAATATATATGCCTTTTCTAAGTTTTAGTGTTCACAAAATGTGACTGTTAATTAATTAACACAATGTAAATATTAACCATGACTAAATAATTTTACTGATATGGTCTGTTATATATTATTCTGATTGTAAGTGTACCATTTCAAGAGTTTTATTTCAGTTATCGGGGTTCCGCATTTCCTTTCATAATAACTAACCCTTTTAAATCCTTTTGGAATTTTTTCGTTTGAAACTGAACGTTCCATTCGAACGATGTCCCGATATTAAATTGATATACCGCTTTTAAGTTGACCAATTAAGGGGGATAAACGCCCCCCCCCCATCCGAAAGGGGCGCACCAACACCCCTTTTTTGTCATATGCTGCGTTGCCAGGCATCAAAAAGCTGGCTTTGGGTGGTTTTCCTGCACTGTTGTCACTCGCTTTCGTTGATTGTTTGACTGGGTGCATTGACTTGCCAGGCAGCCCCTCTTTTTGACAGTACAACAGTACAATGGCCCCCCTCCCCCCTAAATATCCCCACCCCTGAGCACCAACTTTTTCCCCGCATTGCGTGCTGCATTGTCAACAAGTGCGAGTGAAATAAAAACCGGGGACAAAAAAGGCGGACAGGCAAAGTGAAAGGAGAAAAATTGTTAACGGGAGTTCTGTGTTCTCAGAAAATACGGGAGATTTTGTTTTTTTTTTTAGCGGAAAAGGAAAATGGGGGGAGAGCTAGTTTCCCCTAAGTTGCATCTTTACATCCTTCAACATGATTTCCCTCCATTTTCCGCATTTTTCACCGTATGTGCAAGAAAGTAAAATGAAAGCGTCCGAAGGGAGTTAAGTTAAATTAATGGTAATGATGATGATTAGTGATGTGAGTCTAACTATGTACTTATTCCGCTGATTCTAACTGAGATAACTGAATGTAACTTTAATCTTTAAGGTTTAATGTTTCTTAAACTGCTCAATGTCTAGGTATATTTATGAATGCACAAGGTACCGGTATTAGATGTCCTCAAGGAAATTACTAAAAAATAATTTAGTATAGAAATCATTT